GTTAGTATCCAAAAACCCCCGGAGAGCCGCCAGCTCTGGTTCCGAGAGAGAATACAATCGCCCACGCGGAATCGGGGCGCCCGGGATCAAGTCAATAGCGCAGTCGTACGGCCGGTGGGGAGGAAGTCTTTCCGCCTCCTTCTCGCTGAAAACATCCCAAAAATCTTGGTACTTGGCGGGCAACCTGCCCGTGGCTTGTGCCGCCACCTCCGCGGTCTGGCACTTCCGCTCCCCGCCGCAATGTTCTTTACATGAAGCCGAAGTGAACTGTAGTCTTTTTTGAGCCCACCAAATGGTCGGGTTGTGCTTGGCCAGCCATGGGATTCCCAACACCACGGCGTGTGGCAGCTCCGTGACCAAAAAGGAGACCTCTTCCACATGTTCCCCGACTCTCATCAGCACGGGCGCTGTATAGCGAGCCACCGGCCCAGCTTTCAACAAACGCCCATCAAAGTTTTGTACATCCCGGGGAGGCTGGAGGTCCAAACATTGTAATCCAAGGAGCTTCACGAACCGACTGTCCATGAAGTTGTTAGTGGCCCCACAGTCGACCAGGGCGTGCACCGCCGTGGGAGTCTTTTGGGCCACACAAAACGAAACCAAGAGAAAAAACAGCATCCCAGTTGCGGGCTCTGGAAACGGGGTGGGGACCGAGTTTGCGAGCCCATCTAAACTCGGTCGTTGCCTTCCCCCGCCGGCTGCTCGGCCCCTGGTTCGCCGGATACCTGAGCTTGGGGCGCCGCGGGCCCCACTGAGCCGGAAACCCCTGCCAAGCGGGGGCTCGTCTTCTTCTTTACAGGGCACTCCCGAGAGAAATGCCCGCTGCCCCCACAATACCAACACAGGTTGAGCCGTTGTCGCCGCGCCTTTTCCGCCGCCTCAACTTTGGGGCGCAGGGAGCCCAGCTGCATGGGTTCCTCTGCATCGGGTTCACAAGGTGGCGGCGGACCCAAGCGACGTGGCACGCCCGCATCGGCCCCCTTGCGGCCCGCTGGCCGAGGACCAGCAGCGATGTGACGTTGATTGGCCAGGGTCCCATCGATCCGGATGCATAGAGACATCAATTCTTCCAAGTCCGCCGGAACCGCGGAACGGGCCACCTCCAGCTGCATCTCCTGGGTGAGCCCCGCTTTAAAAGCGCTCATGTAGGCGGCATCATTCCAAGCCAGCTCCCGCTGCAAAACACGAAACTCCGAAATGTATTGGGCCAGACACCCCTCCTTCTGCGCCAGGGCACGAAGCTTACGATCCGCCATCTCCCGATGGACCTGGCCTCCCCAAACTTTGTGCAGTTCATCCATGAAGGCCTTGACAGTGTTGCACACAGGGGAAGCGGCCTCCCGTAACGCGGTGGCCCAGGAGAGAGCCGGGCCTTCCAACAAACTGTAGGCAAAGCCCACCTTGGCTGCCTCATTGGCAAACTCCGCTTCCCGCACCGTGAGGTAGGCATCACATTGTCCCAAAAAGTCCTTGACTTTTTGACTGTCTCCAGAGAATTTGTTGGGTAAGGCCATAGGAGTCCTTAGTGGCGGAGCCGGAGGAGCAGGCGCCCTTTGCGCTTGCATCGTGGTTATCTGCTGCTGGAGGTCCTGCAGCTGCTGTTGCATTGCCTGGGCGTCCGCAAGATTCATGATGGCTGGGAGAAGCAAGGGCTTTGTTGAGTGGTCTGTTCAAACTGTTGCGTCTCAGAGTAGTTTCACCTTGCCCTCTGACAAACCAGCCAGTCTTGAGAAGAAAATAGTTTATTGAAGAATCAAACAAATCCAGTTATAAGCAATAGTCAGTTCAAAGTATAAAATGCAGGTTCAATAAAGGCCCATAGTCAAACAGGAACGTAAAGCAAGAAGCAGGATCAAAATCAGGCTTGGCATGAAGTTACAGGAAGCAGGCAATTCCCCCCTCAGGCCGCATCGCAGAGCCATAGGAATAGCGATCCATTCTAGCAAGGTTGAACAGACAAAGAGCCAGCTTTCCAGCAGCATACTTATAGGGAAAAGCATCAAAACATGAAACTACAAACATCTCACTAACAAGCACATTTCCCACCGACAGATGGCCTCAAGATCTGGCCGCAATCCTCCCGCTTCTTCTCGGCACCTGTATCTGATTGCCCTGACCTTCACCGCTCTTGTCAGCCACATTCCTGGGCTGTGAGCACAAGCGCTTCCCTTCAGCTGTGAACTGTGGCTGAGAAGACTGAGAGTTCAGATTTCTCACAACATGCCCATTTGCACCCACAGGCCCATCATTTGCACTCTCAGACCCATCATGCTGTTGCTGAACCACAACAGTGCTGTTTAAATTATTATAATTTAACTGTTACCAGCAACAAAAATAGTGGATTGTAAAATCTAATTAATTGATGTTACAAATTTGTTGCTATAATTTAAAGGATGTTGCATCTGTTAAATCAGTGTTAAATCAGTGTATTTCTTCTTCTTTTTTTAGGATGATATTTCTATGGCAGCAGCTGTATTAGAATCATTGCTAAAACTAGTTTTTCTGGTTGGCCTGACTATTACAGTTTTTGGTTATGCGTATTCTCAGTTGGCACTGGATTTTTACGGAGGCTCCATGCTCAGTGTTGGATCAGGTAATTGTTATTGTTCTGAAACTCACTTTATAAATAGAAATTTATTTTGTGAAAATCTCCTCTGTTTTTCATTGTCTGAAAGTACTATCAGTATAGAAATATGATCACAGAATAGGTGAAATGTTTAAATTGACTGGAGAAAAAGTGTATTTTTCCTTTGTTTTCAGTGCATTGTTTGTATTGCAAAGTAATGGTGGTAATGGGTTTACTCTACAATATATCTCCCACGCTAGCACTGGGAGAAGTAGTGCTTCTCTTTCAACTAGCATTAGTTATTAAATTGTTGGTATTAAATCTCCTTGAAGATAATAATTATTACAATGTCATAATCCTTAAAAAGTCTCTTATAAGAGATAACATAGTTTTTTTGTGAGATATGTTTTATTTGGAGAATGGAGAAACATCCCTGATTAATGTTAATTCTCTTGTATGCTGCTTCTTGGACTTTTGGGCATATGGCTAATCAGGCATTGTGCTGATTGGAAATAGAAAAGCTGCAATTTTATTTCATTTATCTTATTCCACCCAGTAGGAAATACTTCCAAGTAAACATGCATAAAATTGAGTTGTGCCAGCAAATTTGCAGTACTTTTTAAAAAGGTCCTTCAGAATGGTAAAACTGTGTAACAGTACACATGTCTAGTAAGGACTGGCATTGGCCATCTTGTTTTGTGTTTGCCAGTATTCATGAACAAAGTGTCTTACGGCTATCATCAACTGAGGTAATATGGGACATATGAAATTTGTCAGCAAAGACCAACTGATATGCTTTTTTTTCGTGTTAGGAGTGACTTGACAAAACTGCAAGTCACTCCTGGTGTGAGAGAATTGGCCAGCTGCAAGGACGTTGCCCAGTGGACGCCTGGATGTTTCGATCCTTCTTGGCAGGGGGTTGGACTGGATGACCCATGAGATCAAATCCAACTCTATGATTCTATGATTCTATGTTCTACCATCCTTGTCGGAGGCCTCTCTCATGTCCCCACATGGGGAGCTGGAGCTGACAGAGGGAGCTCATCCACTCTCTCCTCAGATTTGAACCTCCGACCTGTTGGTCTTCAGTCCTGCTGGCACAAGGGTTTAACCCATTGCGCCACCAGGGGCTCCTAACTGATACGCTGAAAGGTGTTTAATGAGCAAACTTTAGCCTTGAACCTTGCTTCTTTGAGGCTTCAGGAACAAGAGTTCACAATCAAAGAAGGGACGCATTTCCAATGTGCTTCTTGGGATCTAAATGTAGCTTGTTTCACTTCTTTGCCAGTGCTATTCAAGTGTGGCAATGGGGGGTTGTGGGATGGGGAAGGAGAAGCAGCTTTAAAAATGGCTGGGGCATGTCTGTGGGCCCTCTCCTCATGTAAGGCATTGTAGGTAGGGAACAAATAGGGGTTAAGATATTGGAAAATCGCTGCAGTTGATGAAGAACTGATGCAGTTAATGTAGACAGTGCCACTTCATGTAACTCATTGGTCTAATTTGGTTTAAGGCAGCTTCATATGTTCCTTGATGATTTATGGAGGTTTTTTAAAGGGGCTGATTCAATGTTTTTATTTGGAATTGATTTTGGAATAGGTACAACATGTCAATCAACTGTACTTTGGCATCTGCCGTGTTCATGGAAATGATGTATAAATTCTGCTAATGATATGTAGATTAGTGGCAACCATCTGCCTCATGATAGGCCTTTGACGGTCTTCCTGTTTCTACCATGCAGCATTCTCTGGCACTTGCAGAAGCTAAGGACGTGGGATTGCCAATGACTACACTTCATGTGTAGGGCTTCACAGTTATCTCTTTTGGTTGCATAATGTACTTAGCATAATGTAGCATAATTTATCTAGTATGTACCCATACTAGAATTCTCGACCCACATTGAATACCTGATTAGTTCTTCTGCTTCCTATATTGGTGTACATGTGTATGTTGCCTTGAAGTGTAGAAGTCAATAAACTCTGTATCTGACTGTTCAGGTACATCCCCCCCCCCCCCAACCTTGTGTCCTACATAACGAAATGGCAATGTGTAATAGTGTTATAATTTATTGACATCATTTTCATTTGGATGAGTGATGCTGCTCAAGGTTCAATTATTAGAGCTTTATTAATCTACTTGTCACAATGTTTTCTCAGGTCCAAGTCTCCTACGTTGTTATAGTTTATATGTCTTGCTGATTGCTGTAAATGGAGTAACAGAATGTTTTACATTTGCATCAATGAGTAAAGAAGAAGTGGACAGGTATGTTAAAACAATCTCAGTAAGTGATATTGTAATGTAGCTTTAAAAAAAATATCTTCAGATTCTCTTCTGCTTTGCACGAGATGTAGAATCAGAATTAATGCTAGTCTGGATCCTTCACAGTAATGATTACTTTTCTGGTCATGAAATGTGTTAAGCCATTCTTATTGAGAAATCCTAAAATGCAGAGTCTTGATGAAATAGCATCAGCATAGGATAAGAGTATAGTTGCAGTCTCATCAAATACACATAGAAAGTGTATAAAGAAGTGTGAAGAATGTAGTCACTTTTATTATTTACTCACATAGGATGTCACAGGAGGAAAATCCACCCCCCCCCCCATCCTTGATATTCTTGTGGCTTGATTAATAAGGACCTAAAAGAACATAGTAGTCACACATCCTGCACTTTATCCCATGCCCTCTCTCCATTACTGCAGCTGGCACTTATTTTATTCCAATGTTTACAGCCCGGCCATGGTGCCAGAGGATCGCAGCTTGATTGAATCTGAATTGATGTTTTTATATGTACTTGTGTTTTATTTTATTGTATTTTATATTGTGTTCACTTTTATGTTTGTTTTTGGCACTTTGTGCCATCTGTAAGCTACCCTGAGTCCCTCTGAGGAGATGGATATAAGAATAAAGTTGTTATTGTTGTTATTTTTGCACTGCCTTCTCCCAAAGGTCTCTGTGGCATAAAATATCTTGTCGAGTATTATACTAAGTAAAACACAATAGTTTGAGTGTGCGAATTAGCCTTGAAAAATGTGTGTGTCTTAAAAGTCCTAAGATCAGTACCTGCAGCATGAATGGTGTCTTTTCCCCATTCCTGAAGGTGATACAGTAGTAGCTATCATTGATCCCACTCCATGGAATTTGAGTTGTATCGCAATTGTACAGCAGGCCTTCCACTTTCACAGGGGTAATGGGTTCGTATATAAAAACACAGATTCCTTTATTCAACAGAACACTTCTCTGGGAATTTTGAAATCCTCTAACATGATTCTGTGATCTGGCAGAAGTTGATCATAGACTTGCGCTGGAGGGCCTACAGATTTCTAGAAAGAATACATTGATCAAATGTGTGAATAATCAAATTCATGAAAGTTAAAGTACAAATGTGGAGGGCTGTATATCATGTAGTGATGGAAACTGAGCAGTATTCCAAACACCTATAATACTTTTAAGTATGTCCTGTGACCATTTTCTTCAATGCATCTGTTTTGCATTTTTGCTGGTGAGTGGTTAATGCCAAGTGCTCTCTGGATATCATATATGTATCTCAACAAACTCTTCTGTTGAGTTTAACATGTCTTTGTACTTCAATAGATGAAGCAGATGCAGGCAGGTCACACCACTCCTCACAATTGAAGTTTATGAAAATCTTTACTGCTAAAAACAAATGTCAAGCTTCATGCTGCTTTGAGTCAAATATTTTGGGATAATACAGCCGTTGTCACTGTGCCATTGAGAGGGATAATTTGCTATTTCATTTTATTGCTACTATGTTTTTTTGGTCAAATATATATCATGCCTTTAAGGCAGATTGGTAAGATATACTTAATTTGAAACTCCAGCATCAGTAAAAGTATCCTCTGGTGAAAAACAGTATTCCTGAAGATGCTCATCACAGACTTCTGCTATAAAATCAGTATAGAGTTGAATTAATTCTCATTTTCATGAATTAGTTATTAGCTCACATTTTTTGTACGTGTGTGTCTCTGTGAACTAATGAAGCTGTCTTGACACAGTATATTATGAGTCAAGGAGAGATACAAATTCTTTTGAAACAAAACACGGGGTAATACGTTACATTTTTGTTTGCCATGCTAAACATTTTTGTAAATTAAATGGATGTGAGGAGGGGAAAGTGTATATTTTAAAACATTTTCATTCTTGAAACATACATAGATGTTGTTGTAAGCTGGCATTCATGGGACTGAAAAATAAATATTGACAACCATTTAAGACCCATGTTCCACTTACTATCTGTTCTGTTTTAAGAGCAGATGGTCTACTTGGCATAATTTAATTAATAAGGGATGACCTCAAAATTTAGCAGCTATTCTTTGGAGAAATAGAACACAGTGGCCATTTAGCTACTTTTTAAAAATGCATTGCCTAGCTTCCTCCTAAACTGGGAAGTACTTATCTCTTCCTTCCTCCCTTCCATCTTGAAGTGATTAGTGACTTCATCCACTCAGTATTACAGATTACATGCTAAGACATTATAGTACAAGGCATGAGCCACTTGAATGTGAGATCTCATCTGATCTTGGAAGCTAAGCCAGCGCAACTCTGGTTAGTAGTTGGATGGCAGACCACCAGTGAATGCCGGCTTCTGTGAGCTGTATTTTAGAGGAAGGAATTGGCAAAGCCATCTGAGTATTCATTGCCTAAGAAAATGCTATGAAATGTCATAGGATTGCCATAAGTCAATGAGTGGGTTGATGACATGTATGTGTACACGTATTGAGTTGATATCTGAGGAGAGATTTGATTTTTGGCTGATAATTAATCTGATAATCATTAACCGTTGGGAATTACACATCCATAACCAAACCTGTTCATACTTTCCTAAAAGTTCATACTGTTCAAAATTTTAGAAATGTAATCATCAATGTACTGGAATAATTTTCTTGGTTTTTCTTTGCTTTTTAGGTACAACTTTGTCATGCTGGCTTTGTCCCTTATATTTTTGTTCATGTCATATTTCTTGACGTATTGGCAAGGCAGCATAGGTTTTATTTTGGCAAACTGTTTCAACATGGGGATCCGAATAGTGCACAGCATCCATTACATCTACAAATATTTTGAAAAAAGCCCTTATAGGCCTCTAAAAGGTCTTCTCATTTCACGATTGCTTATTGTGGTTTATATCATTAGTGGAGTTGCCACCGGTGTCTCAGAGGTGAGTGGTGCTGCCTTTCTTCTCATTTTGCTTTCACTCTCTTGGAAAAGGGATTAATGTAATTTTTTGATCAGGAATCTCTTGGAGCGCTCTGATAATGTAAGAACAGTCTCACAAGCAGTTACACTTTCTGTGAAATCGCACAAGATTGTAAATATAGCTGTGTATGTGGTATTATGTTTGTGTCAACACTACCCAGCGTAAATGTGATCCCTTGCACAACCCAAATTTCTTTAAGTACAGATAGCCTTGCTGTTTTATGGTGGTGAGTATGCCAAATGAAAGATAAATTGTTATTACTATATCATTATATATAGCAATATAAAAAGGAGCAATGTGCTGTAATGAAAACTATCTCAACAATAATAAGAGAGCCCCAACTCAGTGTAGACAGTGCTACTCCACAATGCAATAAAACAAGGGTCATGTTCTATGGCCCAACTGTAATGTCACTAAGCAAAGTTTTAAAAATATAATGCTGCATATTTTGATATCACTAGAGTCTGGTGGTTTTCTGTAGCCCCTCTCATTCCATGTCCCCAGTAAGGATACATGGAACATGTTACATGGTTACTTTGGATGAAGTCCTATCATGTCTTGTACAGCAGAAATCAAGATAGAGATCTTGATTTCTGCTGTATATCAGCTTTACTCTTTCCACTGTGTCTTTCATGTTCTTCTCCATTCCTTTGCTGATCTTCAGTCCTATATCTGGTTACTTGTGTTATCAGCTGCCACATAGTTACATTGTACTTTGATGTTGTTGTGCTTTAAACCTTTTTTCATTTGTGCATTTCTTTTACTCTTCCCTTTTTGTTTGTTTTACTTTCATTTTCCAAACATAATTTCCTTACTGCCCTTCCCATCCCACCCTACATCGTTCTTCTGTCCCTGTGGAGATTTCTTTTTTGGTGGCTGGAGAGATAATTAATTCTTGTGAAATAGTTGAATGCAATAAAACAATGTCCGTTGCACAGTGGATAGAAATATGACACAACAATCTTATTCAGTGTCACGTTGTTGATGCATATTTATGCTCCATTATAATTAGATAGGTTTGGAACAGTTATTGCATTAAACATATCAAATTTAAACAGAGAAAAGCCAAGTGAGTTCAGTTGTTATGGTTAAATAAGACATTGAGTAGTTTTAATTAGCCAACCTGGAAGATGTAATTTGTGGTAGCTCCATGTATTCAGATCGTGTACATATATCAAAGACATGCATAAAGCTGTGAAATACAAATGTGTGTGGAACTTAACTTTGTAAATTTACTTCTAACTGTATTTCTTTATTTACATCAAACCCTTTTATAAGAAGCAATGAAAAATCACCCCCAACCATTTACAGACTGCTTACTTAAAAACATTTTATTTTTTAAAACAAAACTCTTTGCCATAACTGTGAGATGCCTCAGTCTGCCCATTTATTTTCTCCAACTCTTTGGAGATGTGTAGGGCAGTAGCCTAACCACGTTTCACCTCTCAGAAGGGAACTGATACTGACAGAATGTGCTTCTCAAACTGACATTAGCTGGTATGCGAAGCTGCTTTCTAGGTCAGTATGGCTGCAGGGACATCCTGTGTACAGTCATGTATCAGTTATTGTTATATGTGTTAGTCTTGGCCAAAATTATGCATTTTAATATGACTTGTGGATTTGTAGAGGGTCACTCTCTAAATGGGGAAAGTACCAATCTTGCTTCAACTGTCACTAATATTTTCCTGTCCAGGCGTTTAAAAAAGCCAGAAATTGTGATATGGCAGAGAGAATACAGAGGGTTGGTGTTTCTTTTTATTTATCTCAGGAAGATCTAAGTTCTTGTTTTTTGTCATTCTACTTAGAGAAGGAGATTGTTGCTCTTTTTTTATCAGTTAAGGTACAGTAACCTGTGAATAAGTTGACCCAGGGTTTTTTGGCACACTGTTTTGATTAAAATTTCTAGACTTACATACGAGTATATACAGAAGTAATCATTCTGAATTTCACACACATATAATTCCACATATATTTTTACCAATACACACACACACACACACACACACACACACACACACATACAATGTATTGTTCCACATCGTTCCCCATACATATTTGGACTCTCACTCCATTGAACCAGATTGAGCACTAGCTTTGGGGATTGTTATAATTGTGGGGGCTTTTAAAACCATGTTTTTAAAGAATGTTTTTAATTTGTACATCACTTTAGGAACCTAAGCAGTTATGTGTGAAACATAAATGCTAGATATAAATAATAACAGAAGTTTTCTTTCTTTGTAGGTATTCCTGTGCTGTGATAAAGGCTGGATGTCAAGGTTAATTCACATTGCTGTGGGAACAGCCTGCTTTATAGCAACTCTTGCTACTATATTTTTCACAGAAACCAAGCTGATACAGTTTGTCAGAACACACATTTTATCAAGATATTCCAAAGAAGGAATAAAATAATAATATGCACATGGATGTATATGTTTGCAACAGAGTATTTTATACTTGACACAGAGAATTGATGTACAGGTTAAAGATGTAAGAATGTCAGTGAAAATAATGCAATGTGATGAGGTGAGGGTCTCCACTCAAAATAATTTAAGGCAACAGGTTTGCTTCAAACTCTATCTGTGCCAGGGGCAAGCAACTTGGCAAGCAGAGGGTTGTTTTGTAAATGTATCCATAAGCTCAACAGTACTGCTGATTATGCATTACATTTGCACTTATGCAAATGTATGGGCTCATGGCAGGGGCTAGTAAATATTTATTTCATATTTACCTGCAATATATATTAGGGACCAGGCATTCCCATGACGTTATTGCTACATAAAAATGAGAGTTGCTAAATTCCTTGTTCCTAAATTTATTTCCAGTCAGACAGAACTAGACAGGCAGTTTATTCAAAAATATTTCTTTTATTAAAACAAAATTGTTTGTTGCATTATGTCTCATTTTAGAATCACTTCAGCTTCTAATATTTCAGCCTTTAGGGAATTTTGTTCATAGAGACAGTTTTGTTGAAAAGTAGGTGATCTGTCTTCATATATATTATCAATATTGGACAACATCCAGGTTTGTGTGACCAGACATCTTCTTGGGCCTTTTCTCTCATCTCCCTCGGCACCTACAGTCTTTTCCACAGAATCTCCCTACCATCTGTAATAGCTTTTGACAGCGTGCTATGTTTGTGTGTAAGAGAGCGCTGCAGGAAAAAATGGGTATTTCAGCTTTTTCTGTCCAGCTGGAAGAATCTGTCAACTGGGAACAAACCACTACCTAAAATAGTTGTTAATACAAAACCTAGAATATGCATCAAAGTAATAATAGGAGAGTTTTCTTTGTAAAATGAAATTTTAATATGCAGTTGAAATGAGGGATATTAATTTTAATTGTATATTCTATTTTAAATGTTAAAATGGAGACATTCCTGCTTGCAGCAATTTCCACATTAAAAAAAACAAAGCTTTTTTTGGATTATAATGAAGTAAAAACCTCATAGGGAAAGAAGAATAGTATCTGGAGAACTGGAACAAATGGAAGCCAGAACATCATGTTATCAGCATAAACATAGACATTCAGCAAACCTGAAATATGATACACATTTGAAATAGAATTATTTAACATAAATCTATGCAGCACTCAGTTAACAAAAGGTTTAACAAACTTTTCCCCCCAAGTCTTTTTATCACTCCAGCTCCCTTGCCTACTCACCTTCTGTCTAGTTGGAAGGGTTTTTTAAATGCGCATTGGCATTGGGAGTATGGAGAAATGCAGACTTCAATGCCAGTTTGGAACAGTGAATATGCAGTCAAAATAAAGTTGGGAAAGAATGGGATTCTATTCTTGCATAGTTTACTGTGTGTGCCTACCTACATTGGGCAGGATAAACAGCAGTTGCCTTCAGTTCTATTATAGAGCATGTAAAAACAGTAAAATAGAGAAAGAGAAAGGAAGGAAAACAGATAAACCTACCTCAAGCTGACAAAATAAAAATCACAAGAACAGTGTAAACTGATGAATGATAAAGATGGAAAATATTATTTTTAATTTACAGAATGCTTAGCAGATGTGATTGTTGCATTTCACAAGTGCCCAGTGTTAAATTTGAATAAAACAACAATTGAAACATGTTGAATTGTTTTTTTTTTGGTGGCCAGTCTCCATCCTACCCATGTCACCTCTGCCACCAGTATCAGAGTATCTGTTAAAGATGTAATGCCCATGAACACACTGACTTCATTAATTGAGCTACACTTTTATATAATGTTTATATGTAGAAAATGTGTTTTCTTCAATTTCAAGTATCATATTTGGGTAAGCAAACTTTAGGGAAATGCTTACAGTCATTTAGATCTATGCCATTTTTGCATTCAATATGCATTAATATCACTAATGATGAAAGACCTCAATAATTATGGAACAAGTTATGGAAACTATAGCCTTGTTTTGCTGGGTACTAATAAAATATAATTCACAATTTAATATTGACTGGATAGGCCTGCCAGAAGAGATAGGTCTTTAATTGTGTTTTACATTTAGACAGTTCGTTAGCTGTCAAACCTCTTCCAGCAGGTCATTCCATAGTTTTGGGATGGCCGATGAAACAATCCTCTGGGTGACAGTTGACAGCTGGGTTTTGGCAGATTGAAGTAAATGCCTCCCAGAAGATCCGAGTGTCCTAAAGGCAGATTGTGCAGAAGAAGGTAATCCTCTAGGTAACCTGGACCTAAAACCATGCTTTAAAGGTCAAAACAACACTCTGTACTTTGCCTGGAAACTTATTGGCAGGCAGTAGAGTGACTTTAGTATAGGTGTAATATGCTCCTGGATGTTCCTGTAACTGGTCTAGCTGCCGTGTTTTGAACTAATTGAAATTTCCAAACTTGGTACAGAGGTAGCCCAATGTACAGAAAAATGTAGACGTCTAACCTTGAGGCTACCAGTGCATGCACTACCATATTCACGTCTTCTAAATCGAGGAAGGGGCACAGCCGGTGTTTCAGCTGAAATTGGTAGTAAGCACTCCTGACCGTTGCATCTACCTGGGCTGACATTTGGAGGGACGGATCCAGGAGTATTCCCAAGCTGAGGACAGTCTTTCAGGGGGAGTGTTTAAAACTAGTTGAAACATTTCCAAACCCAAGTTAGGACTTTTAATATGAGAGTTATCCAAAAGTAAGGTTACAAGGCACGTAGCTCTCATGGGAAATTTTCACGGGGGAAGTTGGTATCACTGCTGTGAAGCAGGAAGCCAACGGAAGTGAACCAGCAGTGCCAGTTGTCAGTAGCTCATCAACTGGCGCTGTGGTGAAGGTTAGAGATGGGTATCCTCATTCCATTTCCCTTCTGTCTCTCCTTCATGACAAGGCATGTCTGCACACTGCTCATGCAACACAAGAGTTGTTGACTTCATTTGGTTGGGATGTTTTAAGCCACCTCTCACACAGCCTCAATCTCTCACCAAGTGACTATCATCTGTTCACTAAATTGGAGGAACACTTGGGTGGAAAACACTTTTACGACAAGGAGGAGGTGAAAATCAAAGTGACAAACTGGCTGAAAAAGGTGGCGGGAGATTTCTATGACACAGGCATCAAAAAACACATCACACGGATGACAATGTATTGAACTGAATTGTGATTATGTGGAAAAATAATGTAATACCTAGGCTCTAATCCATGTACGTGTATGACCTCACCTCTGAGGATGCTTGCCATAGATGCAGGCGAAACGTCAGGAGAAATGACTCTAGAACATGGCCATATAGCCCAAAAAACCCCACAAGAACTGAGTGATTCCAGCCATGAAAGCCTTCGACAATACATGTACGTTTTATTAGAATATGTTCATTCTTTGTATTTTTTAAAAAAGTCTTGTAACCTTACTTTCTAGATATCCCTTGAAGTAAGCACTTTACTTTTATCCTGGATTCAATTTCAATTTGTTTTCCTTCATTCATGTTTAAATCTTTCCTATACTATACACAGGACTGGTGTAGTCCCTTGGCTTCATTAAATTTACATTAGTGAAAGCTGCCTCTGAACAGCAACTTTATTACAAGCCTTTCCACAATTTTGTTTGTTGTTGTGTGCCTTCAAGTAGTTTCAGACTTATGGTGATCCTAAGGCAAATTTTATTACAGGGTTTTCTGGGGTTGACAGTGATTTGCTCAGGGTCATCCAGTATGATTCCATAGCAGAGAGGCAATTTGAACCCAGGTCTCCAGAATGCTGAAATCAATACCCCATGTTTTCTTGGAAGTAAATCTTTTTGCTTATAATGAGACTGATTCTATAGTAGTAGGATAGTAACCTATACATTTTGTACTACACTTCCTGTCACCCTGGCCATTGGCCACGTTGACTAAGCTCATGGGAGTTCAGTCTTGTCCCCTTCTGAGTTTGCCAGACTTCTAAACCTTTGTCATTGTAAGTATATTTAGACCTGCAGCTTTACTATCTGAAGTGATAAATCATAGTTTACCTATCTGGATGTGTCATAAAAAGGAACCAGTTAGGTGCAGCTGAAACCAGCACTTGGAGATAAAAGCAATACAGTCCTAGTTTCCAGAGACTGTCACCCTGATTGTGTGTGTGTGTGTGTGTGTGTGGTTTTCTGCCTTCCACAAAGGAGAATCAAAGTATAGATTAACAACCACTGAAATACAGTGATTACAATAAAAAGGTTTTAAAAATTAAATCAGCCTATTAAAACAATGATTTAAAACAGTTTTAAAAGCATTTAAGACATAAGTAAGAACAAAAGGCTGTTTCATTGCTGTGAGGAATCTGAAGTATGAAGCGTTAAGGAAAAAACTATCTGATGTTCTCCATTTGTATTGAATGACAATTTCCATTGGTCTCAGCCAATATGCCCAATAATAAGCAAGTGTGGAAATTTTAGTCCAAGAAATTGCAGGGCGCTATCTTTGTTTACTCAATTCATGGATTCCACATTGTGGAAAAGTATGGTTGCATTTTGTAAGTTGTGCTTTTTCTGGAAAAGAAAAAAAACCCCAAGGGCAATTTTGAGAAGAGTGTTCGGCAGATCAAAAACATCAGGAAACCCCATCACATTATGTTGTTATAGCACTACTAATCCAATTTAACTGCTATTCTGTATCCTGTAGAATTTGGTGTGTTGTAGTTTAGTGAGGCTTATGAGTGGTCTGGCTGAGAATATCAAATTGTCCTCCTAATACTGCAAATTCCAGCATGCAACATGATGTCATGGCAGTTAAAGTGGATTAATAGTACTATAAAGTTTAGTGTAGTGGGGCCATTGGATAATGTCACACAGAAATACATTGGATGAGTGAGAACTAAGGACAGTGATTTGATCATGGAGCTTTACATCAGAGATTGCAAGATGTTTCATGTTAGTGACACACCTTTCAAATGAATGAATGAGTTGTTTATTGTACTAGCCATATGCCATGACATAGAATCATAGAATCATAGAATCATAGAATCAAAGAGTTGGAAGAGACCTCATGGGCCATCCAGTCCAACCCCCTGCCAAGAAGCAGGAATATTGCATTCAAACCACCCCTGACAAATGGCCATCCAGCCTCTGCTTAAAAGCTTCCAAAGAAGGAGCCTCCACCACATAGTATCAAATAATATACAACTTTTAAAAGTCCAGTATACACTTTCAAATATAAACATTAAACCTTATTCTATAAACTACCTCTTTCAAATTTTAGACATGCATCATTTTGCAACACAGTAATTCAGTTTTACTAACAGACTGGTGGTTAAACTGACACCTTAGAAGAGGTACACAGACACATACATAAACTGCAATAATGAAATGTATGGGGACACAACATATCTCATGAAAACCTTTTAATTTATTTTTTAATATATGATTTATAAGATAACGTAAGAACATATATTTCTAAGATTTTTGTCATTTATTAAAATACTAATATTAATATTACTAATATTAATTGGCACATTTGCTGTGCAAAATTGCATGCAAGTTGGTATTTTTTATTTCATTTATAGTGAGATGTTTCTTGTTACTTTTGTGTGACACACTTACATACTGCAGGTGCCACATTAATGTATCATGACCTACAGTTTGGAAAGCTCTGTTTTGTATATTAGAGAGCTCTATGTCTAAAGGAGAGGAATGAAGGGCACTGGATTTTTCATATAGCAGGCCAACTATTTTAATTCTAGACTTGTAAAACAGGCAAACTGTCAAATTCATGTCTCTGTCATCTGTATAGAAAGAAAATTGGGCATTGCTTGTAAACTATTAAGGGCAGCAGGGAATCTGTCTTTCTGAAGTTAAGTGGGGAGTTAGTAATATTAATTTGCACCCTCTGTCACTGTTCAATTGTTTAATGCTAATCCTTTTAACTATTTTGTTTTCTTTTCAGCTGAAAAACTATGGGATATCAAGGGACTGCAGCAATAATGGACCAAATGGATTCATTAAAGAAGTACTAATTTAATAACTACATCAAGAAGCTTGCATGACAGCCCTTAGTAATCTTCCAAGTGAAGGCAACTGACTCAAAAGCTGCCTATTGTTTATATGTCTCTATTTAACTGGGTAATTCATAAAGATGTTTGCATTCTGCTGACTTTTGCCCTTTGGCAAATGTAGCTCCTGAAGTACTGAGCCAATCTGCAAATAGAAACCATCTGGCTATGCTTGCAAGGCTGAATGGATGTTAAGCAACAACCTTCCATGCACCCTGCCAATTTTGAAAAGGACTTTCAAATTCTAATCACTGCCATTTTGAAAAGCAGAGTTGTGGTCCAAAGCAAAGCAAATAGTCGTAGGAACAGACTGTGTCTGAACAAAATAGTGGTACTAATAAAATATGCTGCACACAACTGGCCACATTGTAACCTATAAGGATTTAGAGTTCATGTGACTTGTATTACCTTCTAGAAATGGCAGGGGAAAGGATGTTTAGGTGCCAAAATACCAGAGTAGGTATTGGCCAACCAACTATAAAAGCAGCAAAGGGTTCGAGGGAGGCAAGGTGGTGTAGGATTCTATTTGCCAGGTTCTAATATGACTGGCCTGTCTGTTAGGTGCAGTTCCTTGAGTGGCATCCTCTGATGCCTCTGTTCTGGGAAAATGTGTTCTCTAGAGCTGGACAGA